CTGCAATGTGGAGATGCAGCTGACACTGGTCCAGGCCACAAGGGGCCCCTGGAGGGCCAACAAACTTAGACGTGTGAACCACAGACATTCTGGCCTTCATATAGTCTGGATGTTCTCAGTACATCTTGAAACATGGATGGTGCTCCACCATTGTTCTTTGTTGCTTACCTCCTGTTTGGGCTAGCATTATTAGTGTTTGGCAGGGCTTGTCATTTACAATTTACCTGGAGTTTAGGAAGATGACCTTTGAGCCAACTGAATTGTTTTCAACTGTTAAAAAGTATCCCTTAGCCTGTGTGGTTATGATGGATATAACTGATTTTGATATCACGTGGTTATGATGGATATAACTGATTTTGATATCACGTGGTTATGATGGATATAACTGATTTTGACAGGGTTATTGATGTAACAGTGTAGGTGTTTGTTTAAACGGAGGGTCATCACTTTGATCACATTTTAGAGTGGTGAAGAAAGGCCTCTTTGATCACCCGCCTGTTATCTGTAACTTCCTGAAGGTCCAACAATCTGTTGATTAGGTTACCCCGGTCAGCTGGTTCTGAAGAATTGTGTAAACTTCTGGGTGTGCCTTCCTAAATAAAAGGAGCTCTAAGGCTTTGCCTAAGTGTGAGAGCACACTGACCTCTGTCTCTGTGTGTATTTGATTTCTCTCACCCTTTGCAAAGTATTTGTTGTTGTTTGTTGTTGGCAAGATTACAATTTACCAAATTATCAATCTAATCCCTCTGTGTGTGTGTGTTCTGAACTTTCTTTGAGGTAATATGGGAGTAATATAGAATTACCCAACAGGTGCTACAGGAAGTTTCTGTGAGGAGGACACAGTTTTTCCTCATTGTTTTTAATGAATTAAAAGAATCTCATTATCAAAATGAGTCCCAAGCCACATCATTATCAACCAACCAGGGGCCATGTAAGACAACCTGGGACCTCTGGGTAAAACCTGCTGCAGCTCCTCATGTTGGTGCCTTATTTTTATGTTACTGTTCTCATTGACATCTGTGAAAAGGACCATTTGATGCACAGCTGTTTCTAGATTCTAATTTCTTCTAGGATCCAGTCTGTTTACAATTTGTTACGTCCCGGTAGAGGAATCTGTGTGGTTGGGGTGTAACACATCTTGTGTTTAAAGGACTCAACCCCTGCACTCATCAAAAGAGTCGAAACTGGTTTATTACACAAGGATTAAAAGAGTAATAAGGAACAAAAGGAGCTAGAGAACCTCTAGTACAAGCTAACCACAGGTAAGGGAACCTGTTTCGTTTAGGAATAAAATAAAATGCACACAAAAAATAACGGGTTACTCGGGAATAAACCAAAGAAGCCTGAATGGAGACAGAAAGGTTACTGAGGTGAACTACTGTAGAAACTAAAGTTATCAAAAACTGAATACAAGATTTATAGAAACCCACTAAACAAACATACCGAACGGCTTAACAAGTTCTATAACAAACCTGTCCTAATCTACCATCAAACAAACAAACACACACACACACACACACACACACTATAGAATATTATTTACAAGGTCTAAGAAGGTATCCGAGGACAAGCTCAAAGGGAGAGTAGCAGAGACAAGCAACACCTCTGAGCCACTGATCTCTGTCTCTCTCGAATTACATGCACAGCTGTAACTTTTAAGCAACCCTGATCAGACATGATGGGGATCAACCGTGGTCAAGCAGGCTGCAGGCTGGAGCTGAGGAGGAGGAGGCCAAGGTTCTGAATAACTCCTATAACCTATAATATCTCCTGGAGAAACGGCACTACTCCGACGGCCGTGACACATTTATAGGGTTGCATAATGGGCTGTTATGTGGCTATGCGTCAACGTGATCTTTAGCCATAAAAACATTACTTCATAAATACCTCAGCAGGTGATCTGTGTGTGTGGTTATTGTCATGAGTGTTTGCAGATCACAACAGTTTTGGAATCATACCCACAGAGCTGGACAAGTGCTAATTGTTTATCAGATGCCAAACTGTGCTTTACACTAATCTCTTCAGAGCGTTCAGACTCTGTCCCCTCCATTTTCCTCTGGTTTTTAGTTCTCAGAATATTTCCCTGAGGAAGCATTTAAGTTCTGCTTCTAAAGATGAGGATAATGAAGCCTGTTCCCCGAAACTGCACTTAACTGCATGGGTGGATAGTACAGTGTAGTTTACACAGCTGTTTCTTATTTACTGTAACTGCAGTTACGATTTAAAAACATGTTTGTGTCAACATTTCAAAATATTTCTAATTTCAAAAAAGAAAAACCAGTGATGGCTTCTGTTCTGTGACTCAGTTATTAGTTATAATCTTACACCATTCTACCTCTCAGGAAGTCATTCTGAGCTCTCTTTTAGACTCCAGGAGCCTCATTCATCAAACCTTCGTAGAAACTGTCCTATATTCCTTCCTACAAAAAAAAGTAACCCTTTGATGCATGGATTATGAAATCTTCAACCATGATTTTTCTTAATTTTTTTCATTAATCTTTAGGTGTGAATGAAACAAATTTCAACAAATATGTTTTGTAGCATTTAATTCACAAATAATTTATTACATGTCCTCAGTGGACAGCGTGCATTCTGAACATGAAATATGTTGGCTTGGCTTACTGAAGTCCAAATAGAGGGGCTCAAATGCAATAAAATATACAACAGCTGTGCTTAATAGCAATAATAATAATAATAATAATAATAATAATAATAATAATAATAATAATAAAGTAATAATAACCATTTTGAGTACAAGTCCACTGTAGTGACCATTATGCATCAAAAGGTTAAGAATGTGCGTACGAACAGTCAAAATCCTGACCTATGAAATATGCGGTTGCATCTTGTACGGATGTTTCTTCGCAATCATCTGATGATAACATCCGACTGTGCGTACCCAGGTACTTGTGTCATTCACATACAGAAATGCCCTCAATTAACCATATTTGGTCATGCTACGCCCTTAGCATGTGAGGGGATTCCCTGGGTTTTTCACAAAGAAAAAACAAAAATTTTATTGACAGAGAGATCGAGACGCTGTCTGCTGAAGTGCTAAAGTTAAATGGAGGAAATGCTGTGTCATGCAACTACTTGATCAAACATGTTAGTGGGGCTGCTGGCTAGATGAGAAACTTAAGCGGGTGCTTCTCATGTCTCCTGCCCAGGAACAGTTGCCATAGCAGGTGGCTGGTTGTTCCTGTTTCCTGGGGCAGCTGGGACTCACGGACCGCTCCAACGCCAGGCCATAGTCATGCTGGTCATTTGTGAATCTCTGCGAGAGACCACAAAAACAACGTAGCTCTTTTAAATGACACTGCTTCACTTTTGAGTCACTCAACTGCATTTTTCTCACTAATAGTTTGCAAGATCTGTTTGTCTGGGTGTGAAGAAACGTGTGACACGGTCAAAAAAATCAGTGGTGGGAACCTCCCATTTTTTGCCTCAACCTGCCCCTCGTGGAGCATTGAGCAGGCTGTGTCCATCTTTTTTATATGTCGATGGTTCGTACGCATGGTCAGAGCTGTTCTTACATTTAGGATCATTTCTACGCACAAGTACAAATTGATAAATATCACACAATGCGTAAAATCGGTCATACGCATGAAATACACACGGATCTGTTCGTAAGTCTGGTTGATAAAGGAGGACCCAGGACAGAAGGTGTAGTGCATAACAACATTGATTAATAGAAAACACCCCAACTTCACCCCTAAGTCATCACAGCGGCTTCTTCTGGCAAATTAGGGTTAATCCTGGATTTTCCTGCTCATTAAGGAACACTGGGAGCTAAGATATGATCAAGTTACAACAACACATCTGCTCTCAGTAAAGAACAATTTCCAGCTGTAAGACTCAACCAATTTCACACTTCAGCATTTGAATAAAAACAGAGCATGTGTTTGAAAAATTATGCAACTTCATTATTGTGTGCCGTTTTGACAGAAGGGGATGGCTGAAAAGGCAGCTGGGGCATTATTATTTAAATAAATTTAAAAAGAATAACATTTTAATTTAAACACATTCATATTACTGTGCATAAACATGGTTCTTTATATGAAGACAAAATAAAAACTCATCCTGGGGGAAAATAATTCCTTTGTGGCCCCTACCTCTCTTTTATATTCTTATTTCTTCTATCGATGTTAATAATCTAAGCACTGATTTAAAGGTGTGGTTCACTGAAAAACCCTTTTTTAATCATTTTTTTCCCTCAGTGACCTAGTGGTAGAGAGTCCGCCCTGGGATTGGGAGATTGGGGTTCAAATCCTGGTCGGGTCATACCAAAGACTTTGAAAATGGGACCCAATATCTCCCTGCTTGCTCAGCTTTAAGGGGTTGGATTGGGGGGGGGTTAACCACCACATAGTTCCCAAGCTCAGCCGCAGCTGCAGCTCACCGCTCCCCACGGGGATGGGTCAAATGCAGAGATCTAATTTCACCATGGTGTGATGACGACTAACGGGAATTTAACTTTTACTTTACACCTATCGCCTGCATTTGCTTCTGATAGAAAATAGATGGTGAAACTCTAGGATTTGAAAAGCCCGACAGATAACACTGGTTAGCCAACCAGAGGTGAGATATCCAAATGTCAGGAAGTAAGACTCCAAATCATGTCACCTGGATCCCTCCCTTTATCAGGTAATCTTCTAGATTCGGAAACAGGCACACCAGGGCTTTTGTACTCAGAGTACAACTTACAAGGCATCCACTAGAGACTCCTGCAAATGTACTGATTAAATGAGTGAACCATGCCTTTAAGGACAACTGTGGTTTATATTTGACTTATTTTGCGCTCCACAATGAAAGTGAGGCACAAATGTTTCTACGAGAAAACAAAACAAATAAGAATAAATGGAAATGAAGTTCTTAGACAAAAAGAGGCCACCTGTTTAGAGACGAGGGCTTCGACGGATGGATGTTTTTCTCTGTTCTAATCTTCTTTAAACAGCACAAAAGAACACATTTCTGGTGTTTTAACATTGTTTTATACTCACTGAGACGATGGCAGCCAGAGTCTCTATAGCTCCTGTGGTCAAGGTGATGTAGGGGAGTATGTTCTCAGCAAAGCCAGCAGCCTTTAGGATCCCATTAGTGTAGTACCAGATCTGTGAGAAAACAAAACACAAATGATGTGTTTTCTTATGTGCCAAAGTTAACTTTTTGTTTTGCTCCTTCGGCTTCAAAGTTTAAAGGATTATTCCCTAAAATCTAACCTTTTGTCTCTAAGAAGACAAGGTGCTTTAAAACTCCAGAAATGCTGAGTATCCCTGTGAAAACATGCATTCTGATTTACCAACAGCATAAGGTTACACTCTGTTTTGTATAGCACAAAGCATTTGCATGGCTTAAACTTATTTTTTTTTATAAATTCTTTTTTTGCTTCCTTTCCTCCAACATGTGCTCTTCACCAATCCTCCCATCTGCCATCCAAACAGATGACATTCAGACTCCAAAACACGTAGAAAACTTTCTGGAACGAATATGCAATGGTTCTGTGGTAAAAGAAATATTTAATGTTGGTTCATTACACAGTTTTACAACAAACCATTAAGCTGCTGGGAGATTGTTAAATGGTTTTAGATTGCTGTATTCACAGGGATACTTTCAGCTCAGATGCTGAGGGATTTGTGAATGACGGTGGACCAAATGAAGACTTCGGGAGTAAATGACATTCCTATCTCCTCTGATAGAAAACCAATGTAAATTAAGTCATCAAGTTCAGATGGATTTAGCCATTTCCATAATTTAACCAATTTACTAAAAGGTCTGTCAGCCTATCAAATATAAAGGTTTGCAAATTATAAAAATAAATTAATAAGTTGCAAATGCATTACAGTAATTTACTGTTTCTGACTGTTGTGTCGCTCTTGATACAGAGCTTTCAGAAACACAAAGAACCAATGAACCTTTCAAATGTAGATGCATTCATGTTTTCAGTGTTTTAGTGTTTGCCAGGTGTCCATAAACAATCTCACATTTCTCTATTCATCAGATCTCCTCTGAAAAATCACACTGCTGCTGGAATAATTCAAGCTTGTTAAAGCAAATTATGCTATTACTTTTCATGAAAATCTCTCTTTCTGTGAGGAGTTTGCATGTTCTTCCAGGAGATGTTCATCTTTTGTTTTATTTCATAATGTCGATACGTGTGACTGTGTGTATAAATGTGTGTGCATGATGATTTGTTTCTGTTTGTGACTGAAATGGACTGGTGGGGTGTCACCCCGATGGGCTCCAACTTCCCAGGACTCTAAGCAGGATCGAGTGTAGAAAAAACATGGATGTAAAAATCTAAAACAAGACAATAAGATACAGTCACAGTCTGCTTGGACACAAAGTATGACATTATGATTAACCACTCATAGTAGTTTTGTAACACTTGTGTTCATCTGCATACACCCATGTTGTTCTGGGAGTCACTGGCCGTGGTCCTGTTCTGCTCTTACGCTGTAATAAATCATTGTTGCTGTAAGCGTGGGTGTAATGAGAGGCCAACTCTCCCCTGTTGCAGAAATATTCGTGTTGCAAATCTAGGGTTTGGGGCATAGTCATTACCACCTGCTGTTCTGTAGTTTATCAGTTGGATTGTTTAGTATAAAGTTCATGAAACGGCATGGGGTCTCAAACACAGCCATGCTGAATACAAACCTTTTGAAAGGTGTCTGAATCTGAAGTGGAAAGGCTTGTTCATTGCTTTTTCTTTTTCCTTTGTAAAGGACAACCCACCCTTCACCTACCCTACATTGTACTACTTCATTTTGATGTTTTTTATAATGTCTGTTCTTATTTTGTCTATGCTTGAGTTTTCCACAAAGCCATCACACATACGGGGTCACAACTGCGGATGCAAGCATCCCAAGAGGGAAGGCTAAAATGATGCGAGCTGCTGCACCTGATCCACCTCCTGACAAGCAGTATTGATGTTTGTGTCACTTTAATGGGACAACACATCTGAGTAGTTCTACAAATAACCCACAAGAATTTCTTTTTTTCTAAATGGTAAATGGTCTGTATTTGATATAGTGCCTTCTAGAGTCCTGGAACCCCCCAAGGCGCTTTACAACACAATCAGTCATTCACACACACATTCACACACTGGTGGGGATGAGCTACGATGTAGCTACAGCTGCCCTGGGGCGCACTGACAGAGGTGAGGCTGCCGAGCACAGGCATCACCGGTCCCTCCGACCACCACCAACAGGCAATGTGAGTTAAGTGTCTCTTGCCCAAGGACACAACGACAGCGACAGACTGAGCGGGGCTCGAACCTGCAACTTTTCGATTACGGGGCGAGCACTTACTCCTGTGCCACCGTCGCCCCACATGTCAGTATCCAAAAGTTTTAAAATGTCAAAATAATCATAAAACTGTTCATGCTGACTTATGTGGAGCCATGTTATCCAGGGCTGACCGGATATTTAAAATGATGGATCAGATACTTTCAAGCGAGGTAGGTGAAAAGATTATGAAGTATTAATATCTTACAGTACATGTTGCACATGGCTTTATTATCGACAGCAGTTTGTTGAAGAGGGAAATGATCATTAAAAACCTAGTTCAAGCAGTGCTATGGTTACTTTTGGGACCTTATAACAATATTTTTCCAAAATAAGTTAGTAGTGGGTCATGCATATAGTACTTTAAAACCTTTGATTTGCATCTGTTTCACATTAAAGGCTTGTTACAGCATGAATGTAATGACACTGGAAGCCTTGGAGTTAGCTGTGCTAACAGCTAGCTTCAGTTACGGCCTGAACTGCTTTGGCATTTTTGAGATTATTTTTGTTTTAATATAACAGCAATTTACTTTGCCCTGCTTGAAGAGAGCTGATAAATCACCATACCAGTCAGAAATCACGCCAGTTCATTCTACACTGAGCTCTTATAAAGACATATCTACAACAGGTATGATTTGGCAAAGGACGAGCATCTTCTACAGGTCAGGGATGAGGTCCTGCCTCAAGTGGAGGAGTTTAAGTATCTCGGGCTCTTGTTCACGAGTGAGGGGAAGATGGAGCGTGAGATCTGTAGACAGATATGTGCTGCATCTGTAGTGATGTGTTGTACTGATCTGTCGTGGTGAAGAGAGAGCTGAGCTGAAAGAAGAAGCTCTCAATTTACCGGTTGTTACAACCCTCATCTAAGGTCACGGGCTTTGGGTAGTGACTGAAAGAATTAGATCGCGGATACAAGCGGCCAAAATTAGTTTTGTTCGCCGGGTGTCTGGGCTCTCCCTTAGCCATAAGATGAGAAGCTTGGTCATCGAGGAGGGGCTCAGAGATGATTCTCCACACTAAGGAGCCAGTTGAGGTGGCTCAGGCACTTGGTTAGGATGCCTCCTGGATGCCTCCCTGGTGATGTTTTCCAGGCATGTCCAACCGGGAGGAGACCTAAAGGGAGACCCAGGACATGCAGTAGGGACTGTGTCTCTTAGCTGGACAGGGAACACATTGGGGTTTTCCTGGAGGAGTTGGTCCAAGTGGCTGGACAGAGGAAAATCTGGGCCTCTCTGCTTAGGCAACCGCCCCCAATACCAAACCATGGATAAGCAGATGAAAAATGATGGATAGATATATGTTTTGTTTGTGGCATTCCCACAAAACCACACTTTCAACAGTTTTTTCAGTAAGGGGCGTCACCATAGCAACCATGTACATTAACCATACATTTATCAAGGCATCACACACACACACACACACACACACACACACACACACACACGTCTGTTTTTCTATCATGGTGAGGACCCTCCATTGACTTCCATTGATTTTTGTGACTCCACTATGCTTAACCCTAACCAATGCTGATCTATTCCTAACCTTAACTAAAACTTAATTCACACCATACCTCTAAAACCAACTGGTAAGCTTCTAAAAAAGTGAGGACCAAAAAAATGTCCTCACTTTGAAAAATGTCCCCACATTGCTGGGAAAATGGTCTTAATGGTCCTCAGTCTGTAGTATGTACAAGAACACACACACACACACACACACACACACACACAGTATGTATATCAAAGTGCTAAATGTGGCACATTTTTAATATGAACAACATAAATAATTGGATTAATATGACATAGATGTTACATTAGCGTCCTATCTTACAGCATTGAGGCCACAGAGCTGATAGCAGGCCATGGTGATGACAATGGTGATGAGCTGCCAACGAACAGCTGGGCTCCTCAGCAGCTGTAGCACAGAGGCAGCATGGAGGTTGTCCTGAGCCCGTGCCTCCGCATGGACCTCTTCCAGCTCCTGGGACACATCCTCCTTCCCCAAAAACCTCTGAAAAGCTGACACATAAAGACAAACACACACACATACACACGCACGCACACACACACACACACACACACACACACACATACACATGGAACCATCACTCAGTGCTATCATGTTCATATGCAGAGTGTGTATTCAACAGAAAATAAGAACATAATATATATTTAGAGTCTGAACATTCAGTGGGTGCATTCAAAAATGGAAATATATCCAATTAATTTGAGTTTCTGTTATTAGCAACGTTAATGCAATCTCATAGCATGAGAAAATGAAAATTACAAACTAGAGTCCAAGATTCAACATTGTTCAACAAGGATAAAATTAAAACTGAATAATTTTTAAACTAGGCATTCTCGATGTTGGATTTCTACCAATATGCCGATATTGTCCAACTCACAATTTCCGATACTGATATAAATTGATACAAATATGCCCCTTCCCACCCTCCCTTAAAAAACGCGAAAAACTTAATCATTGTAAAACATCACATGGTTAAAAAAAAGTGCAAAAGTGAGTTTTACATGATATGGTCCCTGTAAAAATACTGAGAGAACTTGAGTTACTTGCAGCTTTTATTCTTCTGGCTTTTTATTATATTTACCAAATCTTTGACCAGAAAAGCTGTTTTCTTTTCCATCATATACCAAAAACACACAATTGAACATGTCAGAGACAAAGAAGGGTTCACTGCTTTGCACAAGGACAATATACTGGGAAAATAAAGATTGAAATACTGAACTTTCCTTCTGTACTGCAGAAGCCCTGGATTTCAAAAAGTCCAAAGAAGCAATCTGCTGTCGCTGATAAATTTGTAAAGACTGAAAAAGCAAGAAGATTCACTATCTTTGTCTGAGATAACATTGGCATTCATCAAGCAACAACATCCGATAAATAAGAAATGTGATTTACGTCTTCTGGCAATTAAGGTACGTTTGAGATTATCATCTTGTGATTAGAAAGTTTTTTAAAGTTGCATCAAGTAAGAATGACACACTGTGGTCAAATTGGGATACTGCAGTCCATGTATCAGAACAACAGTGGCGACTCGTCCATGGGGGCGCCAGGGCGTCGTCCCACCAATCTCACAGGAAGAAGAAGAAGAATCACAAAATATAAAAAAGTAAACCATGAAAATTAAACTAAACAATCTCTATGTCATACAGACTTTGTTGCTGTGTATAATCTATATTTAGATGTAGCTTAAAATGTTATTTGCATTTTTAACACTACCGAATTGTCCTGTGACTATTTCATGTTACTTTTGGGTGCAGCAATCTATAACACAGGCCTATGCTAACTGGCGCATGCGCGTTGGAGCCCCCTCCAATGCAAATAGGAGAACCTTTGAGCGCAGAGGTACAGCTCCCGTGAAGACACACTCAGAAGGCAGTCAGTCTCAGCTCACGACAGAACCTTCAATTCTCCACAGTTGACCATAAGTGGTTGTTGTAGAGCAGCTGAGTATACCTCGTGGAGTTTTGTTATCATGCAGAACCAGAAAATGATGGAATGTGGCATCAGAGACTTTTGACCACTCTCCTGTGTGTAAAAAAGTGGATTTATTTTACTATAATCTGGATTATTACAACTTTAAACCAGCAAAGGTAAGACTGAGTTAATGCTTTTAACTTCATGAAATTAGCTTTGTTTGTTTTTATGCTGAATTCGCTTATATTGGTGAATATTAAGCACATTGTTGGAAAAATTTCGCTGTTAGTGGTCTATCGGTGCGATGCATAAGAATGGTGATTTGACATTCCCTGGCGGTAATATGTGGATAGTGCATCTGAATTCAGCCCAGTCATCCCAAGCCCACATTTCAGACCTAATTATTAGAAAAATGAAAAAAAAAATATATATATATATATATATTTAATACATCCATAATGTCATCACTTTTCGAATCCGTGTTTCTCCTAAAAACCACTTGTTTTTGACTGGAAATATGTAGAAATAATGAATAAATATTTGTGTTTTTGACACGTTTTATTTAAACGACTAATGTTTAGTGAATATTTTTATGTTTTTTTCTGCCTGCTTAAATTTAGCTGTTGGTTTGAAAACCAGGAATGTGACTTGAAATGACACATTTTTTAAAAGAATTTCTTTGATTTTTTTTTTCTCTCAAAAAAACTGTCTTTTTTTATTTATTTATCTGCCCATAAACTATCATTTTGTAAGAAAGCAAATGGATAAGAAACATGTTTATAGTACATATTTATTAAAACACCTTGTTATTCTTATGCACCTTCCCATAACAGGTCATGCAAATCTCAGCTGGTGTGCTCTTTTCGGGCACACCACTTGTTAAATTGTGCCCCATCCAAAATCTGTCACCAGCCGCCACTGCAAAACAAACAAGTCAACTCTGAGTGCCTGGGTCAACCAGAAAGTTCTAGATGACGGACAAAGATGAGTCATACACAGTGAGTTGATAAGTAGATAAATGCATTTCACTGTAATATCCAGGTTTTGGTAATTGAAAAATGTGGTTTAAGATACCGTAATTTCCAGACTATAGAGCACGCCTCAATACAAGCCGCACCTACTAAGTTTTTAAAAACACATGGAACTGTAATTTTATAAACCGCCCCGGGCTAAAAGCCGCAGATATCTACCGGATATCTACTGAATTGAAAACGTAGTTTAACTGAACATAACTGAACTGATCAGTTTCAAACAAAACAGAAAAGTTATTGATTAGTTTATTCATTATCCTCCTGCACATTGAAACCACTGAAGTCATCTTCTTCAGTGTCGGAGTTGAACAGCCTCAGAAGAGCTTCGTCACATACCTTTCTGTGGCGATGCCAGTGTCACTCTCCGTGTTGCTGTCATCATCCCCGGGAGAAGCTAGCTTGAATGAATTCTTCCCGCTGCCATCTCCAGCGCCGAACCATGGATTCATTCATGCCAAGCTTACGTGCGGCAGCACTGTTTCCCTCCTTTACTGCCAGATCGATGGCCTTCAACTTAAATGCAGCAACATATGAAGTCATACGTGTAGTTACCATGATGAGGGGGTATGGATTTGAAAAAGAGTCTTCGTCGTGCCGGCTGCTTGCATGTGCTAAATGAAAATGAGCACTTTCTTCCATTTCCACTTTTGACTTCCACCTGTTTCACTTTCTGCTAAAGCGCCCCCAGCAGGTGAAGGAAAATCTTCAGTAAAGCCGCACCTCATTATAAGCCGCATGGTTCAAAGCGTGGGGAAAAAGTAGCGGCTTATAGTCCGGAAAATACGGTATTTATAGAGCTGTTTATAGATGTGGCACTGCTCAAGTGTTATAAGAGCCCATGTGGCTGTGATAGTAGTCTTCAGCTCTTCTGAATTGTTGGGTCTGGCGTATTGCATCTTCCTCTTCACAATACCCCATAGATTTTCTATGGGGTTAGGATCTGGTCAATTTACTGGCCAATCAAGAAGAGGGATATCTTGGCCCTTAAACCAGGGACTGATAGCGTTGGCATTGTGAACACTGAAATCTTTATCTCCATAAAGTTGGTCAGCAGCAGGAAACATGAAGTGCTCTAAAACTTCCGGTAGACAGTTGCGTTGACTTTGTCCATTGTGTTTTTTGAGGTCCAAACACCAGCAGATGACATGGCACCCACTGACTGTGGAAATTTGACCTTTTGTGTCTTGCCCTTTTGTGCAAGGTGTCAATGGTCATCTGTTGGGCAATTGTGACATCAGCAGTTTTTGCCATGATCATGTAGCCTACAGAGCTAGACTGAGAGACAATTTAAAAGCTTTCCAGGTGTTTTACGTTAATTAACTGATTAGAGTGTGGCACCATGGGTCTTCGATATTGAACCTTTTCACAAGATTCTAATTTTCTGAGAAACTAAATTTTAGATTTTCATTAGTTGCCAGTCATAAAAGAGATAAACAATTAAAATATATCTGTCTGTGTGTAATAAATTAATTTAATATAAAAGTCATTTTTTGAATGGAATTATTGAAATAAATCAACTTTGTCATGATATTCTAATTTAATGGCCAGGACCTGTAGATTAAACTGTCAAGGTCTTGTCTATAAGAGCATAAAATTTCACATGAATGGATGCTTAAAAGAGGACATGATGCATTGTGTTTTTGTGTAAGTGCATGTGCAAAGCTTGTGGGTATAACCCAAAAACGTCGTTTAAAATCCTTGAACGCAGCCAAACATCAAACGCAACAAAGTTAAGTAAATCTTGAAGTTTCTGGGCCAAACAGCAGATTTATTTGAGTGAGATGAGACGCTCGTATGCAAATCCATCACTGAACCAGCTTCTAATCTCGCTTTGACTCTTTCACTCAACAAACCTGGCAAACTTTCCTCTAATGACGGCTCTTCACAAAATATGCTTTGGCCATATTGGCAAATGTGGCTATTTTATGTCTATGTGCACAAAAATAAAAATGGCTAATTTACCAGAAGGACACGTTATGTGTAGCATAATACATCCACAGATAAAATCATGAGCGCATTGCGAAACTGTTTCTGCAAGATGCAATAACATCATACTGTTTCAACCCATGGGTCCTATTTACACACTTTTCCAGACAGCCTGGCATTAAAACAATTTTCATCAATAGCTGTTCTAAATTCCAGATATCCACAAATTGAAAACAATAAATGACAATTAACTATGTAGAATTACATAAAACCTCCTCAAGGTTATTTTTATTTCATACAGGCTTGTAAAGCACCCTGAGGCTACAGTCGAGTTATGCTATCTTAGTTTCAATATCTCCACTGAGATAAAGAATTCATCAACATAAAATGAAGCTTTACTGTGGTGCTAATTACTCTGTTGCCTGCGGTGGCTCGAGTTCGATACTGCAAAAGTCTTATTTATTCTGATTGATCTTAAGAGTTTGTGAATTGATCTGTATGAGGGATAATTTAGCTGGTGTTTTATAACCAACTATTGTAAATAGAGTACAATAAAGCTGGTCTTAAGATGTGTGGAGATTTCTAAATTGTGTTTTGGGATTCTAAATCCATGTTTTATCTGTCCA